TTTTCATACATCCGCTAGGTAATGCTTCGCTGCGTCGCATGCTAGAATAGCTGTAGCATAGATTTGCCCTAAAGAACATGCATAGATGAGACTTTGATCTAGTATATAGTTCGTAACACAAATCGCTTAAGAGATTCGAGCCTTAAATTTCTGTGATTGTATTTAAATATACATCGTAGTATCTTCTAAAATTGTTATTAACAACATGTGTTTAACGTATTCAGAAATATGAATGAATGCTATTGTGCAAACATGTTAGTATTACGAATTTCGATGTACAGGTCGACAAATTGCGTCAGCAAGCGGAGGAGCAGGAATCAGTGTTGCGCGCCCAAGAGGATGAGTTGAATTCAAAGAGGCAAGAACTGGAAGGTTTGCGGCAAGAAGAGCAACAGTTGGAGCAGCAACAGAATAAAAGCAGGGACCAATTAAACGAGTTGACGAAGAATTTGCAGGACACTCAGCTGCAAATCTGTCAAGCTAAAGCGAAAATCACGCATCTGCAGGAACAGCAACGGCAGATGAGTGACGCGATCGCGCTTTACGATTCGGCACTCGCGGCAGGAGATGCCTCTCTTGTACCTGATACTAGTCTGCAATTTAATCCCGAGATCGAAGATCCAGAGTACGCAATTTAATATACAAAGACTCCGCGTCGATCATAATGTAATTCTGATTGTGAAAATTCGCGTAGGTACGAAAAGAAAAAAGAGGAAGATAAAAATAAGAAGGAAGTCGTATTCTCTAACACGAACGGAACGACGGTAGATGGTTTCGACCAAGATCCTTTCGCATCCAGCAAAGCTCAAGAAGCATTCAGCGCATCGACGCCGGACCCATTCGGAACCGCGTTCCCATCGCAAAATGCTACCGTGAGAGATTTTCCAAACGAAGTGATCACTACGTCGATCACGTAGTACTACTTAACTTTCCACCGTTTTTACAGGGATTCTCGTCCGATCCATTCAGCGCATTCGATGATAACAACGCTGTAAAACAAGATCCATTCGATCCGTTTGGAGATGGAAAACGAACTGATAATAAGGCTAACGCAGCAGCAGTAAGTTGTCACAGATATACCAGAATTTCGAAGAAGGCCCTCCTTTCGTCTACGTAATATTGTATATAAAATTTTTCAGGCAACGAAAGATCCGTTCGGAGACGATCCGTTTGCTAATCTTCACGCACCACCTCGCCCAGAGAGTCCTAGTCCTGCCCTTCCTCCTAAAAAGGCAAAGCAACCGCCGCCGCGACCAGCTCCTCCGCGACCTAGTCAAGGTCCTCCCGGTCCTTTACGAGCAGCACCGGCACCGCCTACACCTTCTCCCACACCCGATCCCTTCGCGAACGCCAACTCCGATCCTTTCTCTGCTCTACAAGACATCATGGACAACAATAATAGCAGTAGTTTTAATACGTCTACCGGATTCGCAGATTTCGCAAATTTCGACTCCAAGGTATGTATTTTTAATATGATTAGAAATTACGCTTTCGTTAGTTAGTGAGAAAGTAATTTTGTTTAAGCACTTTCAATTATTATGAGACGATTTTTCCTCCTTTCTGTTTAAGTGTTCCCATACATCGACCTGGCCGTATCCTCTCCCGTCCCAGTTTTGTCAACTCCCAGTACGTTATGCATTCGTTATCATGTATTTTCAAGAAAAGAACGAAATGTATTGGTACGACTTGTACATATCGTTTAAAAATAGGTACAGAAAGTTCGTTCCGTAATATATTTCAACGATCATTATTTCAAATACGTTTATGTAAAAAGATTAATTATATATACTTTTTGTTTTATATTTAGGTAGAAGCTGCACAGTTTTCAGTTTATTTATTGATCCGGCTCCTGGAGCATGCTGTCTACAAATTAATTTGTTCTCTATTTGTTCCAGTATTACATGTATTTTCGTTTTATAATACTGCATGGCAATTTTTTTTAATTATTCGATTACTCGTACTCGAGCAAAATATTCGAGTCGAACGTGGATCTGTAAAATAATTTCCTTAGACATCCTACCGGTGTCGTTTCATTTATGAACTCGAATATTTTGACTGGCTTGCAACTCGATACATTTTAGTACATTCAACAGCAGCCACGTATGGTCCAGCAGCCTGACGATAATCACCGGTTCTCGCGGTATTCTTTCTAACTTTTCAGTAAACGAAAATTGACCACTGAAAAAATGCTTCAGCCGGAACCAACACTGAATCGAACGGCACCACCCAAATCGACGAGCAGAACGCACGCGACGGTAACTCCAAAGCTGCCGGACTTCACGGAAGATCCATTCAGAGATTATCGGTACGAAGACCCGTTTAACATACCGGATCCCTTCGCCGACGATACGGAGGACGTTAACGCGAACAAGAATGAGGCACCGACGGGCAAGCTGGACCCGTTCGGTTACGGCACGACCGCGGTGGTTCCTCGTAAGAATTCGTTTACGAAAAGCTTCGATACCGATTTCTCCAACACGTTCCCCCTGGCTAAGAACAAGTTCGACAACGGGAAGTTCGACGCGGACTTTGTGAAGGCGTTCTCGGACGACAACAGAAACATAAAAACGATCGAATCCGACGCATTCTCGATCGCGAAAACGAAGACGATCGACATAGACGAGGCGTTCTCCGCGAAGAGCGAAAAGTCTGCCAGAAGACAAGATTTAGCACACAGTAGATCTAAAGCTGGCTTTAACGATAAGAAGTTGAAGAACGAGATGGACAAAGCTTGGAACGGTACCTTGCCTCTGACGCTCAGCGAAGAGGAGCAACTGTTCTGGGCGTCCCAGCAGAGTCTGAAGACCGAGGAGGAGAGGCGTAGACGCAAGCAACAGGAGGACGAGGAACTGGCTTTGGTACTTGAACTGAGCAAGCAAGAGAAATCTAGGAAATCGTGAACTTCCTCGTTGCGACAACTTCCTCTTCGATTTGATTTCAGTTCGATTTCATTCTTGGGCACAACGACTCGATATTGAAATCAGATTCGGATGGCAAACATTTCGTATTATGAGATCAACGCTGGGAGAGAGACTACGAAAATATTCGCATAAACTACGATTTCATGTAACTGCTTACTGTTAACACTATTTTGCATATCATAATCATTGTGAAACGAAAATAGAAACGAAGGGAGAACCAGTTATATCAGTGTACGTGTTATTCGAGAATTCGTGAGAGAAAATCTATCAGTCTTGGGTGTGTCAGTCTCTTCAGTTTTAATTCAAATGGAAATATGATATTACTCTTCTTGTAACCAGATCGTTGTTGAATACTACTTCATTGTAACAAGCATTATAAATCACGCGACATTCCCGGTGCTCTGGATTTATTAAAGAGCGGTCGTGAAACATTTTGTAAAAAGATGAAAAAAGCGAAGTTAACCATTGCCTTGCAGTATCGAATTCTAAAATAACGACACTTATTATAATTCGTAGCTGATTGTACACTATCGCTAACGTTAAATTAGCATGTATAAACGCAAAGTATAATGGCAGATTATTGGATTGACAATAAAAAGACGTTCTGTACACACGTGCCCCGTGAGTTTACAGCGAGTGGGTTAGTGATACAAACGCGGTCGTCCGCGGATACAGAAAAATGGTTCTCGTTGTACGAAACGCACTTTAACATATTTACATCTGTACGATTTACGAATAGCCGAACAGCGTTTCCCGTTTGTTCGAATAAATGTTACGCGCATTATAACTCGGTACACGCCTGTCTCTGTTAAAAAATTGTTGACAGTTGGACATCGAACGAACGATCACAAGAGTTCCAGCTATATAAACTTCGATAGAGTAGAGATACATGAAACATGCATATTAAAAATGTTTACACGCTAGTACGTTCATTCATAAGTTATTATAGTTGGTAAGGAGAATTTATTAATTACGTTTTCTGTTCGAAACAGGGCTGCGTCGTTCGATGAACGCGATTATAACAAGGATCGGTGTTGTTTCGTTTGTGTTATTGTATACTGAAAGCGTTCCAGTTGATGTCTGTGAGAATGCCGTCTGATTCAGCCTTCGGTCTTAGTACGTCCCAAAGAAATAAGGTGTTCAGATAAAGCGTAGCCACCCCGTGTTTGTTCCCATCGTGGATCCACGCGTACCATGCGAATCGATCAAACACCGCGGGCCGCGTGTCTATCTTTACTTTTAACTATCACGTAACTTTACAACGACTACGTATTATACATGCTGTATATATCACTATCCGTATTATTTCATCATAATTATTACGATACCATTGCGTTATTGTTATACCGCTATTATTACTATATTAATTATATTGTTATTATTATTATTATTATTATTATAATAATTATTATTATTATTATGATCATCGATAGCGTTAGTGACTATGCAACGTGAAACACCAGACGCCGTCAATATATATGTATGTTCGTTTAACCAGTGAACGAGACGATTATTAACGATGACTGTAAAATCGTATTACATATTATATGGTATTATTACGTATTGATATTGTTTCGAGAATGTGAAGATGCGTACGTCTCGATGAGATAAAAATTGAAGACGTGTGCCAGAATGAACTCTATCATTAGAATAAACCAAATGACCTAACGTCACGCTTAATTCGGATTATTTAGAGAAAGAGTCTGACCTCGAGTCAATCCTCCGTTGTATATCAAAATACTAGACACTTGTTCATTGTATTAATTTTAATAAGAAAGCTAATACAATGAAGAAGTTATCTAGTAGTTTGATATACAACGCAGGATTGATGTTAGGTCATTAATTAAAATTAGAGAGCAGCGTTACGGAAGATCACATTTCCAATTATAGTCAGCCTACTTTTATAAAAAGAATAAGTAATTTCTTTTGATTTTTAAATTTGCTCATTGAAAGATTTCATTTCTACCCTGTAAGATGTGACAAGCCGCAGGGTTTGCTTTGTTTCGAAGGAGCAATGGAAATGGCTTGGCGAATTGTTTCCCGAGGTGTGTTTCGGCGAACTTTGTATGCATGTATTCCGACGTGAACGTATCGAGGCAGATAATATTATTGTAACGACGAAAAAATCGCATGCGAAATAAACGTATATACGCGAGCACTACTGGATAGCGAACGTAGAACGCATTAGAAAACGCGATTGCAACATGTTTAAGCTCTACCTATACATATACGATACGAATAGAAGACGCTGTATTCCTTTTCGCTTTCGTTATCACTTAAAGGACGACGAACAATGCATTTATCAAAAGCTTTACCAAATTCGTTCTCCCGAGGATTCTGCCGTGTGCCTTGCCTCGAGACAGACTTCATATTCGCATGGAAATTGATTTTGCATCGACATTTATTCAAACGTCATATTAGGACGCGGCGAACGAACTCGTCCGTTAAGTTTTAACGCTGAAATACGCGTTAGGTTAATAAAAAAGTGCGACGAGATCATTAAGTAATATCGTTATTGATGTAAGAGCATTGACGAAACCGTTGTTACCAATGTATGTACAGGTGTGTAAAGTGAAACAAATAATTACGTTGCACCCCTCATTATATACTGCGTATACATTCGATGTGCTAATTTACTCGAAGCAATAGCGCTCATCCGTTTTAGAGAATTGTGAATAGATAGATGTTCGATACGAATAATATTATTTATCGATACAATTATTATACGCTCGCCTATACGTTGTTCCCGTATTCTCGACAGAATTCCTTATTTTTACCGTATGGAACGAGGCGTCGGCACGATATTAAGATTGTATTATGAAAATCATTAAATAATCTATTGTATCATTTATCCGATCTTTATATTTCTTGAATCCTCAACCTGGAATTGAATATCTCGAACTTTGACCCGAGTCAAACATTTCAAATTCTACCAACGTTTAATCTCGATCCTAAAGCAATTAAATGAATCATAATTAGAATTAGAATGAAAACCGTGGTTAAACGCTTGCTATCTTAATCTCAGAGTCTTTATTATTTTCCTGAAATCTTCGCTCCGAAGAATAACTTTTTATCGGATGCCTTAAATAGCCGCCTTTTTTGAATGCAGTATGCGTTTTCTATCGCGATCATATTGCATCGTCGTGCACATTCGACGAAATTCTATCGGACAATTACGGTAGTTACGATCAAACGAGAATTCGTCGACCGATTCACTCCGTTTACTACGGTTCGTGAATTAATCGACCGGTCGTACACGTTTCCGGGTTGTGTGGTTTTGGAAAATAAATAGACTGTTACAAGAAGGATACGGAATTCGTGCAGCAGCTGATCTGTAAAGATGGCCAAGCTCAACACAAACAAATAGCGATCAGTGATCGCGATGCGCTCGTTTTATGGCTAACGCTGCACTTAAGATGTGAGTAATTTCGATTCGCGTCCTCGAATATTGTTAACAATCTCTGTTTTCGAATCATGCGGGATTCTCATTAAAAACGTATCGGTTTCTCGGAGATATTGAATAGTAAATGAGACCTGTCCCTTGACCTGCTCAATAAAGTTTCTTGTTCGTGAAGAATTTACAACAAAATTTACTACGATGTTCAACTTCGCGTGAAAATACGCGTAAAACGATCCTCGTACTTGAAGCAACGCGTTCTTCACGATTTTTATATATTAAGTATAATAATCTGTAAGGAGTGAAACGTCTCTCCAGCTTTTTGACAGATAAAGTATGTAAAAGTTAATTTTTTAAATGATCAATGTCTCTCGAAAACGGTTTACTGACAATCTCTCCTAACTCTTACCCGATACATCACGTTGTTGTCGTAATGATGGTAATATCAATTCTGTTCATCTCTCGTTTCAGTATTTTTACATTCAAAGATAAATGAGAAAGCGATCTATCTCGTCGAGTGGTCAAAAATGGCTTATGATCCGCGTAACATAAAGTATTCATCGGAGATGCACAACCATCAACATAACCAGCCGAACATGAGCGGATACACGTACTCCGCGCACCCAGGGCAACACGTTCAACAGACGGACGAGAACAGAAACGAGAACAACTGTGGGAACAAAGAGGCCTGTTCACAGATATCTCGCCAGTCGTCTGGCACACAGACTATCCAGAAAGTGGACGCAGCAACGATGACCGATCCCTTACAAATAGACTTCAGGCTGACCTCCGAATACCTGGCACGATGCTCTAGTACGCTAGGGTTACCATACGTATCCAAGTACGAGGAGAATAGCAATAACTCGACGAACTGTCACGATATTCGGCCAAAGATCGAGTTTGAAGTAGAGCCACAACATATCAATGGTAAGAATCACAGGACATGTCATTCGTATCTTTCTATATTCGTAATACGAATGATTTTATTCGAAAGGTATGTTAGTCTACCATTGTCCGGAGTGTGCGTATAAATTCGAGGACAGAGAAGCGTTGCACGAGCATTTAGAAGATCACAGGCAACGGCCTCATATCTGTGATATTTGCGGTGCAAGCTTGAAGAGGAAGGAACATCTGGATCGTCACAAGCAAGGACACAACAAAGACAGGCCTTATCAATGCAACATGTGCTGCAAGGCGTTCAAACGTAACGAGCATCTCGCTCGTCACATGATCATCCATTCAGGTAGTAAGAATCAAGTTTGTACAGAGTGTGGTAAGGCATTTTATAGGAAGGATCACTTGAAGAAGCATTTGCAAAGTCACAATAGCGGTAGGAGCAAAAACCCGAACAGTTCGTCGCAGAATAATCAGAGTAGTCAGAATAACGGTGAGGAGGGATTGAGTAGTTTTGCAATGATGATGAGGCAGGCTGGGCCGCCTCCTTTTTCTATTTTGAGGACTTAATACATTTTTACCTTGGTACACCGAGACGTACGTGCAGTTGTTTTGTAATCTAGGCAATTTATATCGTAAGAGATTGATACAGCGAGCTTTACCAGAGTCACGTTCACGGATATGAACGAAGTAGTAGTCGATGGTTCTGAGTTTTGCAGTTATATACATACATTATTAAGAAGATATTAACTTTTACTAGAGAAAACGAAATAACCAGGCTCTAAGATAATTCTGTACATTTGATATCTCTCTTTTTAATATGCCTCTAACGTGCACAATATCTCTTGGAACAAGAGTGTACCTGTTGAGAGCAGTTCATTGAAATATATAGTGTACATATATTTAGATACATTAAACGATTTATTTATAAAAGATATTTATATAAATTATTCAAGCTTTTATATATATATGAATTACGATTTGGGTCTAAGCCTTCGGCAGGCCGGCTTTCAAACACTTTCGTTTGTAAAATAATGGGAACCCGGTGCACAAAACGATTCTTGTTATGCTCAAACTGATTAACGACGAGTTGTTACGACAATGTATATACACTAGATCTCTGGCAAGCAGTTAGAACTGAAAAAAACTGAATGTGTTGATCAGAAATCTGTATATGTAAAATGTTTTCGATCCTGATCGTTCTGCGTCCGACACAGAATCGCGTTTAATTCGAAAGAAGTATCGAAATTTTTAGTTTCCTAAAACGACGGCATCGATCATCGGGTAACGTGCCTAAAAGGATATATGCTTATTCCAATTTCAACCGAGAGGAACATTGTCGAATAGTTTTCAAATCCGAACGCCGAAGTGTTTTACAATCACTAAGTAGCGTTATTGTTTTCTTTTTTATTTCGTTTTAATTTATACCGTTTTGTAAATATTATATAGTTTCGATTATTACAAATATATATGTATAGTATTAACGCGTATGTGCATGGTTCGAGTCGTGATCCTTTAAGAATCGCAGCAATGTTCCTTAATGTTTAAAGTTGAGAGACACCGTGATCTACGACCGTAGGGTTACGTTACGTTAAATAGTAATTTAAACAATGCAGTTTGCATCGCGCGAATGTTACGGTATGCGTGTGTGGCTATTTCCAAGTGTATAGATACGCGTATATAATATAAAAAACTCTGCTTACACGTTCTATACGCGTATTTATGCATGCAACGTTGTTATGTCGAATCGGCTTCAACACTACGTATTATTTATATTTATCAAGATGGACCGACTACGGCTTTATTATGTAATGCTTCCAACGTGTACGAAATCGTACGCGCTACATACGGTCTAAAAGAGAGAAAAAGCATTTTGTTATCAGTTGTATCGATTAGGATTAAATGAATAAAACATTATTACAAAAACTATCGTTTCAAATGAAATCGTGACGTTCTACGGGATCCAAAAATTACGGGACACGGAGGATAATAATTAAATCAGCTTGTCTTCTGATGATGACTTTTCATACAATTTTTATATATATATATATATTGATATATATTATATATGTAGGGTATTACATAAAGCAGCACTGGGAAATGTCCGAAAAAACGTTCACAAACTTTAAACTTCTATCCTCGCAACCTAAATTCGTCTGTCTGTATCTCATTTTTTTTTTGTATACCTACATCTCCTCTTTATATGATTCCTCGTGTCGTCTAACTATACGTAATCCTTGCTCTCTCTCTCTCTCTCTCTCTCTCTCTTTTATTTATCGTTATCGTCCTCTTTATTCCTCGTTCCTGCGCTCCTGAAGATTACACGTTTTTTATGCACTTTGTACAAAAATAAAACGCTGAGATCATCAGAGGGGTTCACACAACAGTTCTTTCTTCATTCTTTCTCTTCTCATCCTCTCGCTCGCTGCCCTGATCTCGCCCCCTTCGATTTACACGACGAACGAACGTTTCACTCTTTCTCTTTTGTACCCTGGAAGACTGTGGTACAAATGTTTCCGATGAGGAGCAAATAGAAATAAACGGTGGGTTCGAAAACGAGTGCGGGACGCACTCGGAAATTTCACTATCTGTTTCCCTTTCGTTATCTATCGGATGTCCGGAAAATCCACAACTGGGAACGCAACGGACTCGGAAATAAACGAATCCCTCTTAAATGAACGTACATCTATCAAACGCTGTCTGTTAGATTAATTCTAACTCACTAAGTAACAACTGCGATCAGTGGCAGTATCTACGTTCGCTCTCCGAGATCCACCATCGGCGATGGTGTTTTGTATAGATTGTTTGAACGGTAGACGCTTTGAGAAATAATAAAAGTACAATGGTTCGGTTGGATATATCAGCTACCGAAGCTTCAAGGTATCTAAACAATACGTGTATGTCCTACTCGTGTACTTTTAAGCGTTGTCGAAATTAATCTGTCAGATCGTGTGTGTTTCCCTCTCTACTGTTTATATAAAATATTCGTCACTCGCTATTTGGCTAGTTCTATTACAAAAGTATAATATATACCTTGCTAACATTTGATCGGTCGCAATGTAAGTACCTTTGCGCTATTTCGCGTAATCTATAAAACGTCAGCCTTTGCAGTCTCGTACAAAAATTTGTAAGAATATCTTTCTTACGGATCTTTAGTATTGCGTTTTCTGTGTATCTAATCAAAAGTGTTACTCGAAAATCCCTCGGATTTATTCAAACGAACATGACCCACGTCGCCACCCTTTGCACTCGCCACGGGACAACAGAGAATTGTTGCACTTTGAAGTACAGCGAGTCAAGTTAACTCCGCGTGGTTAGTGGATAAAACGTTCGATAAATCACGCGAGTCGCCGTTCAGACGAAGCTGGATCTGTGCAAAGGGTGTTAACGAAGAAGAAACGAGAAAGGAAATCGTTTGAATTGCGTCGCGGACTCTCCGGCTACACGGTAGATGCCTATGTTACGCGTATAATGATACTTATTTTATCCCTAGGCTATTGGAAAAAGAGGAGTTTAAATGCTTTGTACTATGTCGAGGAATTTGTATATCTTTCCATGTTTTCCTTTTCCCATCGTTTTAACTCCGGCCCGCTGTGTTTGACGTCTCTGTTTGAAAAATCGGTAATCACATTTACGCACACGCGCACGCAAGAGAACCCACGCCACGCGGGCTGCTGGACCGAGCCGAGAAACTGAACCGCGGCAGCTGGGAGATTCTCCGAATAAAATATAAAGAACAGCGCCCGTTGGTTCGTGCGAAACTTCTTTCTATCCACTTTTTTTTCGACACTGCGTAGAAAAATATGGTTTTCACATCGTGACCCTCATATCTCTCAGAGAATCGCCTTTGATTTACAATTAACTGTTATTTTCAGTTTCCAATTTCTCACCATCCCTGTTCGTGCAATTACCTTTCACGTTTGATTAATCGGAGACAGTTGTATGATAACGCTGTTACTCGGCAGACAATCAATGCTCGAAACTGTCACTTAAATTAAAGAATACAATGTTCGTAATATAGTTTTCAGCGACGATCCGTTTTCGAGCAGTGATCAATTCCTATTAAGTACCTAATCGTATCACTGTAAACGACAGCACACAAATGTTACGGATAATAATAATAATAATAATAATAATAATAATAATAATAATAATAATAATAACGACGTTTCGTGTAATTAATCCTCCAAATTTAAAACACCGTGAAGGAGTTCTTGTATTCTTTAAACGTTCAATGATTCAAGCGTTTCGAAACTCTGTATTGTACTCATTTGACCGTGATCAGGACGAATCTGTTCGCAGAGGATTAAATAAACACGAGTACAATATGTGTAACTTGTAACGCGAGAATGAAATGGTACAAATCGTACTTGCATCCGAGACTAACTCGGCTCGCTTTTCGTTCACAGTCGAACTGCGAGATGAGGCGCGAACTCGATACGTTATTATCATTTTGGTTTCTCTTTTTCATCCTCTCGTTCGCAATCAACTCGCTCTCTTAACTCGTGCAACTTAGGCAATAAAGGCCTATTACTTACGACTACTTACGCTTTATAAAACGCGATAACTATACTCGGTTAATCATTATCGTTAGTCACTACTGTTGATTACAGAAACGAAAAGGTGTCTGGCCAGTATCGAAAATAGAACGGGAATCAAGTCGTATCCGAAATCCTACGAGTTTAATAAGTCCGTACTCCTTTTAGTGAAGCTTTAAAAACAGCCTTGGAAACTCATTCGAGAAGGCTAAGTACAAAAGTGTTTGATCACGAAGGAATCGCCTGTCCCGTCGGAGAAATTATAAAAGAAGATCTTCGTTCCACTGTTGCTCTATCCCGATCATTAATCTGGATCGTTTCTTTGTTTAAAAAAGCACACACCCTTGTCTCGTTTCTCCTTTCAATCATCATTTTTCCATTATTAAAAAATATTTCATCTTCTTCCTCTCTCGCATGCCCCGTCGAACCTCCTCTCTCGGTCCCGTCCGTTTCTGGCTCGGTCGCGGCGCAAAAAGAAACGAAAACGAGAAGAAAAAGTGCCGAACGGGATACGAAAGAGGAAAGGAGCATACACAGTGTGTACCGAAAAAGAGCTACGCACGAGGCCATTCCCATGGACTTTGACTTATAAGATGGAAAAAGTATGTATGCAGGTGCGGTAAAGTCCAGCGCTATGCAAGGCACCGGAGAATTGTTATTTTTCTTTGTTTTGTCCTTCCTTAGAGACGCGTTTAACTATTTTACTCATCCCCCTCTCATTTTATTTTTATCTTTTTTCCTCTAGGAACACCAACTACGCTCATCACCTCGACGAAACGGTCGGCTTCGAAATATCAAAGGAGACGAACCGTCCGCCTCGTCGAGAATGGAAATATCAGGTTCTTTCCTTGGCTACCCTTGAAAATAGACCGCTTCTTGAGCCTCTCATTTCTTTAAAAGAACAAAAAGAATCATACGCCGAACTTCTGCAAAAGTCTCTCCTCTCGCTCGCTCTCTTCCTCCAATTTTTCTTTTTAATCCTTTATAAATCGTAAAGCTATTTGTCATTATTTTCATTCTTCGCGTAGTCCATCGATTTCCTGTTCCGGAAAAATTTGATATTTCTCTCACTCTCTCTCTCTCTCTCTCTCTCTCTCTCTCTCTCTCGGAATATAATATATATATATCTTGTATATTAATATATTATGTATAGAACCACGCACGTGTCCATCTTCTCTTTTCACCTCTCTCTCTCTCTCTCTCTCTCTCTCTCTCTCTTTCTCTCGCTCTCTGCTGGTTTTAAATCTCTCACAGGCTCTTTCTCTCCGCTCGCGTATTTTCAATTACATACACGCACAAAAGCAATCACGCGTTCGTCCACGCATTCCTTCCTCCCGACCCGGCACGCAACACACGCGCGATCCTTCTTCTCATGCTTCTCATCTCTCTTCATCTTACATATCGTAGTTATCTTAATTTTTTTTTTTGTTCTTCATCTTGTATACAAACTTACTCGCTAAAACGTATAATCTAAGCGATACTCTTTGTTTTCTCTTTTCTTCTTTTTTTTTTCTTCATCATGGTTACGATAGATGGCGATGGAGTATTTTTAATACAGCTCATTCTTTTATATTTTATTTATGTATAATATATATATATATATGGCTTTTAGTATATATATATATGTGTATATATATATATATACTTTTATATATAATATTTTTAGTACATCCTTATATTTGAGGTCTGACGAATCCTGAATTTTCTTTTATATTACTCGCTAGAACGTAGCCACTCGCTAGAAACATGATGCGGAAGAATTGGTAAGGATCGATCAGATTAGACGATGAAACTTCTCGGAGTTCGAGGGGCTCCTAACGACAACGTCTCTTACCGAGAACGACGAGCTTCGCGATTCATAAGCGCGTGACAAATTTCATCGCTCGAAATCGAAACACAAATTGGCAGAGTAATATACTTTCTCGACGAAAGTAGATCGCCCGGTTTGCACGCTGACCTTTTGATTCATCGGTATAAAAAGAGTAGCTCCCGTCGAGTCTATGGCACTATTACGATACTATTGTCTTGATTACACGTCTAGTTATACCAATTTGTGCGGTGCAAGATGACAGGTGACGATGTTAAGAACCCTTCTATCGCCGAAACGTAACGCAAGAGAAAGTACGAGAGTACAAACGGTCGGGCATTGAGGTAATAATTGAAAAATATATATCAACGACAGATTTGTACGTCTACCCTATTTGTACGTCCTAAGTTCATTACAAAATAGTTTTATAGCCTATCTTGTAAGCAATGGAATCTCTGAAAACGCGCCTGAAGACGCGACGATCTTGATCACTCCCCTTTCTCTCTAATCTCAGAAATTACGCATCACATTCCTAACTACGTTTATACGTTATGCTTCTTCATTTTGTTTTATTTTTGTTTTTCTAAATTACATTAATTA